TTCAACATAATATTAATCAGATACATAACCTTCATTTTTTAATATAATTAATACATTTATACACTTATGTTTTTGTATAATTTAAAATTAATAAACTGTAAAAGGTTATTTCTGAATTGATTTTTTTTTCACTTCAATAAAATAGAGTATCATTGATGTTTATTTAAATAAATATACACTTTATATATAGCGCAAAAGAATAGATAAACTCGAAATAGCGAGTAGCACGTTCTGATTCATGACGGTATGAACTACTCGTTATTACTTTTAGTGTCTAAATAATAATTTCGTTGACAGGAATAAATATATATATAAAAATATAAAAGTTATATAAATATTAGTTTTCTTATATAAATATTAAAATATAAACTTTATACAAATATTAGTTTATAAAATAAAATATATAAATATAAATAACCAAGGTTACTAAGTTTTTATTTCAGAAACTTTTGCTGACAATTGTTCGGAAAAGTATAATCGAATGAGCATAAAAAGTGTGGTTTCGATGAATATGAGAGTTTCTGGAATACAAATTATTCCAGAATCCGTTGGCCGATTTTGAAATTATGCCAGAATCTGTCGTATTTTTGCCCCTGCTCGACGTCCTTCCCTCAAAGTGATGACAGACTGGAATAAACTGTTAAACATTTACAAAATTATACCAGAGGCTGTCATAGATATACTACTAATATATAGCATCCCTGTACAGTGTGCAGTTCTTCTCCAATTCCGAAGTCACATGAATAATATTTTAAACCTGTATGAAGAAGATAAGCATCGATATTAGGGCCATGTTGTTTGAAAACTTCACAATCAGATTTTTAGTTTTTGCACGTACTTGGGAAGTGTGCCGAAGATAACCTGCGACTACAAATTTATATAACAGTTTACTTCTCAATTCCTGTTATTATTTTTTTAGCACAACTATAAGTGTATAGGAATTTTTTTCATTTTCTTATCTATTCCAATCAATTTTACAAAGAAAAATTTACTATTTACATGATTCAAATTTGCAAATTTCAAATTAGAACGTATTTGTTAATCTTGTACACTTTGTTTAACTTTTCGTACAATTATTACAAAAAACAAATTTCATTAATCCGTTATTAAAAATATAACAACAGCGTTATTGGTACTATTATGTTTTTGAAGATATATTTATAGAAGAAATAATTTTTTATTTCACACAGCAGTCAATCGCTATTTCATCTGAAAAAGTAATTTAATTTAAAACATTTTACATTTTTATTAATTTAAATATACAGAATTTGTTGTTAAATCGATCTTCTTTAACTTTAAATAAGTGTATCTATATATATATATATAATCAAAAAGGGTTGATAATAATAATAATAATAATAATAATGGCAAAGCCCAAATGGTTAAAAGTTGAAGGTTTAAATTTGGAACAGAGGGTACGTCACGAGAACGCACACTAACAACTGATTTTTCGAAATTTCACCTGGCATGAAAAAGAGACGGGATGAAGGCATCAACAATGGAAGTGTTAAGTAACAATGGAAGTGTCAACAATGGAAGTGTCAATAATACAAGTGTTAACAGAAAGCAACGTGCAAGATTTACAGGTGCAGATGCAGTTTCTTGCGTTTTTGCGAGAAATTGAAAATATTTCTCGCAAAAACATGATCCATCTAAAAATTTTCTAATTAGTCTGGAAACAGTGCAACATAATTCTTACATTCTGAGAAAACGTATAAGATTGGCTGTAATGTAATAAGCTTAATTTTCACTATCTTTAATTTTGCACGAATAACGCCAGGCTTATTTGCTAGTATTAGTATATTTCATGAAATTGTGCAAAGAAATTTTAGTTGCAATAATTTACCATTTTCTAAAAATATAGATTTATTTTTTAATTTTGTACATTATCAAATATATAAACATGTGTCAGCTTCTTGGTTACAATATCAACAATTGTATAAAATTTGCATACTCGTGGTATGCAGAAAGAAAACGTTTTTAAAAAATAAAGGCATTAAGTACGTTTTCTATCAATATGAAAAGTTTTAGATTTTTTGTAAATCTCTTGAATATTAATTTATATTTTTATCATATAAAGTAAACATTCTTACATAAATTAAAATATTAATAATCGTTAATTTATAATTTCTAAGATATTAAATTTTCTATTTGTATTTAAACCTTTATATTATATATTACAGTATCTTATATTTAAAATTGTATAATTGATAATAATTGTTTTTACCTTTCATTATTATTGTAATAAAACATAAATAAATTTAAAAATAAAAAATGTTAAATTATATTTTAAACATGTAAACTCTATATTTGAAATTATATACTTATTTTTATTAAAAGTACTTTCAACAAACTTTTTATGAATTATGTTAAAAATTTTAATAAATTAATAAATATGTAAAGACAAGCATTAGACTTACATAATTTTATAGCTGTTTTAATATTAAAAATGTATTTTTATTTAATAAATGTTGTTTTAAAAATTAATGTATATCTAATTGCTTGCCTTGATCTGTTAAACTGCAAATAAGAAACCAACAAATCTTTTTCATGGTCCACGAAGTCGTTTTATGGAGAAAATAAACGTTTCCTTTAACAATACAATAAAACGCAATCGCCGTAACAAATGTAGAAGCGAAAACACAAATCCAGACCTAAAAAATATATAATGAAAAGAATTAGTATGAATGAACAATTATTTATTGTGGCATTGTTACGATTCCGGACTGAAATTTTTAATTATATTTTAAGTTTATTAATTTAGACATGCTTTCTTGCAAATCTGTGATTCCCAAGCCATAGTCCTCTGCAAANTTAAAAATTAATGTATATGTAATTGCTTGCCTTGATGTGTTAAACTGCGAATAAGAAACCAACAAATCTTTTTCATGGTCCACGAAGTCGTTTCATGGAGAAAATAAACGTTTCCTTTAACAATACAATAAAACGCAATTGCCGTAACAAATGTAGAAGCAAAAACACAAATCCATACCTAAAAAATATATAATGAAAAGATATTAGTATGAACGAGCAATTATTTATTTTGACGTTGTCACAATTTCAAACTGAAATTTTTAGTTATATTTCAAGTTTATGTAATTTTAATCATGATTTCTACCTCAAATTAGTGAAGTTTTGTCCATCTACGTTATACTTTTCCTGTTAGCAACAGCCAGGTGCTTGTTATCTATCTAGCTGTTTTCTTGGTGACACAATTTAAATTAAAATAACTTGTGTTTTGTTTTGTGTTGAGACTTTTTTTATAGGTTATCTGGGTCTCCTGCCACTAAACTTTTTAAAGTTATTTTGAATTTTATATGTTTAACTCTGTTTTCGAGTTTCAGAACAAACAATCGGACAAAAAAAGCAGACAAATTGATAACAATGAGTTTTTGTAAGTTTAGAATTTTTCAAAGTGTAACCAAATGAACTGTGTTAAAATAATTATTAATATATTAAATTTTTTTTTAGATATTTATAAAATTATTGATGAAAATATAAAAAAATTAAGCAATGACAGTTGTGTAACTTTCATGATTTTTATGAGTTTTTATTTATAATAAAATATTTTATATCATTAAATAAAATAAACAAAATTACGCGTTGCGTTATCCGTTACAAAATTTTATAAAAAAAGTTTTTTATACTAAACTACTATACAATGACAAACCTTTAATTTTGTGGGTTTGCATGAGTTTTATAAATAAGTATTAATTTTATAAGAAATAAAATTTTAAGTAGTTTTTACCACTCTTCATATATAACGCTTTAAACTGATTTATGTCTATCCTCTTTTAATCTTTAACTACCAAAATTTAGTAGTGTCAATGCCTTTCATGTACTGTACAAGCCCATTCCAAATCTCTATATTTTCATGAGATAATAACCGAAATATATACCAACTCACACATACATATCCACGAAATATTTTTGCCTTTTTAAATACAGCCTCAAACCATACAGATTTGTAGAAAACTCAAAAGGTCAAAGTCAACACGATTCCAGTACTTTTCTATATAATTATCACATGAGAAAAGAAAATAATGAAAAAAGACATCCTAAAAGATATAATAAATAATGAAAACGAGCAATTATTTATTATAATTACTTCGCAGTGCTAAGCTTAAATTTTTTTCATGTTTTTATTCATTTAATTTAAAACGTATGATCACTACCTCAAAGTTGTACTGTAGTGTATTGTCCCTATTCACCATCGTTTTATTGTTACAATAGATTCATGCCAGTCATCTGTCTATATCCCTTCAAATGAAATGTTTGAATTGAAATAAAGTAACTACGGTTTGTACCTGAAATTTGTATATAGTTAATCGGGACCACGGTAGCTTCTATGCTTTGATATCTGTTTTCATATTTTATGTGTCTAACATCATTTTCAAAATAAAATTGCAAAAAATAAAATAAATATACGAATTATGATTATGAAAACATTTCAATAATCCATAGGATGTGTAAATACGATATACATAAAAGCTCAAATTCTAAATAAAAGCAGATTGGTCATTAATATTGCAAATGATCTTGAAATATTCGTATTATTGGAAAAAAGTATAAAATTAGATATTTGACAATACAAAAGCTTTTTTAAAATATTTTTGTTTATTCGGCCGGAACTACAATGCAGAGGCGGTTAAAAAGAATGACTCGTACAGATATTTCCGAAATAACTCGCCAACTGGAACATTCTCGTACAAAAGAATTTTCGTTTATTTCGTGCACGGAGTTTTTTAAATCAACGTAATTTTAGTAAAAATATAAAAAATAAAAAAACTTTACTCACTTCAAATGAAAATGGCCTTATTATTGTTGTTAGTTTTGACAGTTGTTTAGGTCTAGAAACAACAAATAGAACCCTACTACTACTAATATAAGCTGTTAATTTTACTACTTGAAATCTGTCGTACGTCGCGTATAACATGATTCCACTAAGATCAGCTTCCTTATAAAAATAAATTAAATATTGTATATAGTTATAATTAATTTTACAAATTCAATTGAACTGTTATTACTCTTCTTACCTTTCTTTGTATTCTTCCAATTAAACCATTCCACGAGCCGTTGTCTAATTTAACTCCAAACACTTTTNGATTCATGCCAGTCATCTGTCTATATCCCTTCAAATGAAATGTTTGAATTGAAATAAAGTAACTACGGTTTGTACCTGAAATTTGTATATAGTTAATCGGGACCACGGTAGCTTCTATGCTTTGATATCTGTTTTCATATTTTATGTGTCTAACATCATTTTCAAAATAAAATTGCAAAAAATAAAATAAATATACGAATTATGATTATGAAAACATTTCAATAATCCATAGGATGTGTAAATACGATATACATAAAAGCTCAAATTCTAAATAAAAGCAGATTGGTCATTAATATTGCAAATGATCTTGAAATATTCGTATTATTGGAAAAAAGTATAAAATTAGATATTTGACAATACAAAAGCTTTTTTAAAATATTTTTGTTTATTCGGCCGGAACTACAATGCAGAGGCGGTTAAAAAGAATGACTCGTACAGATATTTCCGAAATAACTCGCCAACTGGAACATTCTCGTACAAAAGAATTTTCGTTTATTTCGTGCACGGAGTTTTTTAAATCAACGTAATTTTAGTAAAAATATAAAAAATAAAAAAACTTTACTCACTTCAAATGAAAATGGCCTTATTATTGTTGTTAGTTTTGACAGTTGTTTAGGTCTAGAAACAACAAATAGAACCCTACTACTACTAATATAAGCTGTTAATTTTACTACTTGAAATCTGTCGTACGTCGCGTATAACATGATTCCACTAAGATCAGCTTCCTTATAAAAATAAATTAAATATTGTATATAGTTATAATTAATTTTACAAATTCAATTGAACTGTTATTTCTCTTCTTACCTTTCTTTGTATTCTTCCAATTAAACCATTCCACGAGCCGTTGTCTAATTTAATTCCAAACACTTTTTCAACAGGTTCAATAATTTCATATCTGTGTAAAATATCTTATAAAATTGTATATTATCCTATATATTTATCGATAAATAAATTGAATTTACTTACTGAACATTTTTTAAATTTTGAATGACTAAACTTAGAAATTTAAAATCGATACCATCAAATACTACTGTGTTATTAATCTTCTTCATTTTTAAATAAGGAGGGAACTAAAAATATTATAACAACGGAAATAAGATATATTTTGTAACAATATTTCATAAGGTAAATAAAAAGAAAACTTACAGGTACTCCCGTGATTTTTATTTTCTTCAAGCTTCTACTAAGTGTATTTTTCATGATTTGTTCTATATAATATAATATTAATTAAATGTTTATCTTATTATATATATATGTATATGTATTCGTTAATTTAATAATTTATATCTATAAAATATTGAAAAAGGTAGCGAAATTTTCGAACAAAAAATTTTAAATTGTAGTGGTGCAATCTGTTATAATATTGTAGTTAAAGCAAACCCTGAAATTGTTATTTATTATAAAATTCTGAAAAGCATAATGTTGAAAACACGTAAGTTTTTCTTAAGGAAATACGTTTATAGTTGTTTGAGGCTGTGGTTCGAAGACTCTTCATAAGTCATATTGTATTTCCTATTTTGTGATCGAGCTTAATAAAAAAAAACAAACAGACGGACAAACAACAAACACTGGCAATTTATACGTTTACACTTTTTCACATTGCAGCCAAATTAATGACTTTTCGAAATTCGGCAAAAGCAACTTGACATGCACACAAGGAATCTATTCGTGTGATAAAATACTTTTGACAAAATATAGGTCCAATAACAATACATTGCAATAATGGTCTAATAGAGTATTACACTTCACCATTTTTCCTAAGCCATATCTCTTTACACACAACAATAAGTATGTTAATCATGTTATATGTATGTTCTCTACTGTACATCCCAATAATGTATACAATGGAATTCAGGTCATCGCACAATTTCTTACTTATAATCTCAAAAAACATTCTCAATAAAAGCAATTTATAAAGTGTTTATAATACATTAAAATTGTTTTAATTAAAGTTTTTGTAAACATAATATTGAATGAATCAACATTTGTAAAAAATGATTATAATTTCCAGCTTCGTTCAATATTAGAATCGATGTTTGTAACTACACTGTTATTTTCTGGCTGTTATATACAGAGATGTGCCAAAGTAGGTATAAAGGTGAGAATCTAAAGAATATAAATGTTTGGTGTTTATTGTTATTATTTTTAAAAATATTTTATTAGTTCGTATTCCTTATTTGTGATGTACCGTATATTTCGGCAGATAAGACGATAGTTTCATCATTAAAAAAAACCAAAAATTTACAGTCGTCTTATAGGATAGATTTAAAAAAGACTAGACTAAAATTTATATAAATTAAAACCATTATAAAATTAAACAAATCATTCACCAATGTATTTAAATAGCCCATATGACGTTTTTTGAATAGTCTAGGTTAGGGATTCCCAAAGTGGTCGATAGCGACTCCTTGGGTCGATAAGTTATCCAGGAATCAATTAATACACGAGGGTCGAAAGGGGTCGATTAATCCCAAAGTGGATCAACTAAACTGTCTAGGAAAAAAATAGAATATTCTAATAGAAAATCGAAATACGGATACGATCAACATTACTGACTACCCTAGTTATCACTTGAGTTTTGCCTTAGCCTTTAAGCATGTGTTACTCTGTTTTCACCCATCTGGAAACTGTACTAGCAAACATGTTATGAACGCTGGTAGTTCATTATACACAGACATACGTTGTACTGTTACACTCTATTAGAATTGTCACTTTAAGTATTTTATATCTAAACTAGTAGCCCGGGACGCCCCCTAGTGGGCGTTGTTTACAAATTTCCATGAAGCACGGTTCCTTTGACTTTATTGTTCCTATCAATATGCTGTACAGCTCTGTTAAAGTCCCAATGGTAAGATTAGGTGAAGAGGTGGCGACCCTCCAAACTGTAGCCCCCTGTGCGAACAAAAAGGCAAAAGAACCATACCCCTACTCGTGACCATTCGCGAGATATAAGCCCCTGAAATAATAAATTCCTATTAGAAATATACTGAATTATTTATATTGTTATATTGACCAAATAATACTTTATTGCCAAATGAATAATAATAATTTACATTGTTAATTTAAATAAGAATTAAAACTGTTAATTTGAATGTTTGACATATGACACACGATAGTGGCGCCTCTAGTATCTGTTATCAAACGGTTACGGGACGGACGGACGGACGGACGGACGGATACCCGTTGAATGGGTTATATATATATATATAGATGTAGATATTTTGTCTTCTACAGAGAAAATATCGTAATATATCGAGAATCATTAATACAGTGATACCTCGACTTACGCTACCCCGACTTACGCGAACCCGAGTTACGCGATTTTCAAATGCCGTCGATTCGTCTTTTGTTTGAGCACCAGGCAACTCTTGATTACTCATTCTCTCCACAGTATTGTTCAACTTACATGTTCGGACGTGTCGCGCGGAATCGACACATATCTACAATTGATTTTGTGTTATTTATTTCTGTGTTTGTTATATCTAGGGAGACTCGAGCGACTCTATGTAGTGATTTCTTGTAACAATGAACGAATCAAAAGACGAAATAAGTTTAACGAGAACATTTATTAGCTTACATACTTCCGACTTGGATTTTACACACATAGAGAAATTATACCCCGATTTACGCGAATTCGACTTACGCTGTTATCGCTCGGTCCCACCTATCGCGTAAGTTCGGGGTATTACTGTATAGTACAGAAGCGTTTGCAAGAAAAAAAAAACGTTACAATTTTTCAAGCTCGAACAATCATAACGACCTTTCAAGTAAAAATGGAGCTATTTAAATCTTTACTGACACGATCAGATTTTAAATATTTTTCAAACTTGCGTGTACTATGAGAAAATGAAAAGGTTTCCGACCGTGATTTGGAGATATATATTAAACATCATGATAAATTAAAAGAATACTTTTAAGCACGTTTCAAAGAATTGGAGAATATGCATGTTCCCGAATGGTTTGCTAATCCATTTGATGTAAAAATAGATAATGAAGGTAATGAACCTGGCTTAGAAGACAAACTGATTGAAATATGTGTAGATCTCGAAGCTAAAGTGTTGTTTAAAAATAAAAACCTCGATGAATTTTGGAGCAATAGCAATATTGCCACTAAATATCCCAAACTCAGAGCAGAAGCCGAACCTTTCTTACTTTTGTTCCCAACTTTATACATGGTTGAAGCTGGTTTTAGCCACTCGAACGCAATTTTGACAAAACAGAGGAACAGATTGAACTTGGAGAACCGTGGTGATTTGCGACTAAAACTTACCAATTTTCAACCGAATTTCAATAATCTTATTGCTTCTCTTCAGACACATCGATCCTACTAATATCAATTATTTTAATAAAAAGTTATGTTAATATATTTTTAAGGCATTCAGTAGTAGTCGCAAAATGACAGTAAGAGGTTTTTTTCATCTAATATAACTTATGTTATGTTTTAAAAGATAATTGTGTATTGTGACATGTACGGTTTAATAACTATAGGCAAATTTCCATCCATCCATAATTTTACTATTGTTTTTTAACATTATAAATCAGTAGAAAATATCTTCTTTTTCTGTTAATGTTATAGGGTGGATTTTATAATATATGGGAACTATAAATTCTTTTGTTGGGTTGTTATGCAAGTCTCCTTTGTCGCTTAACATCAGAAATGCAAAAATGATTTAATGTTTTTGTTAAATACGTAATCTGGGGTCGATAAAAAGGCAAATATTCTATAAAGTGATCGACAGGATAAAAAGTTTCGGGACCCTTAGTCTAGCTAATTACTCGAATGCCTGAGTCAGTGGGGATGCTTGCAATACTTCCAAGGCAGTATCATCAGATGCAAGAAAATCAAATTTATTTATTCGAAAAATTAAAAATAGGATATAGTTCCCTATATGCTATACCGTATTATTATCTAGATGTTGATCACTGATCTAAATTAAATTCATAGGCCGTTTATAGTTTGGGGTCATCTTATAGTACAGATAAATGCTAAAAGTATAAAAATTTGACGAAAATGTTTACCTCGTCGTATCTGAAGATCATCTTATCTGAAGATCGTCTTATCTGCGGAAATATACGGTAATTTGTACATAAAAATACATGCTTTTTCTTCCAATTTTTTCCTGTATGCCTTTTTCCATTATAACAACTATATACCTACTTCTGCAACCCCCTCTATATCAGAGATAAATCAGAGAGATAGTATGACGTTTGATTAAAGTTCTAAAATTCCCCTTTGAGATTTTTACATGTTTCGGACTTTGATGTCCTTCAAATGTCAAAGAATGCAAAAATAAATAAAAAAACCATTCGGGAGTTTTCCTGTATAGATGGATGCTAGTGTGTGCATGATTTTGTTTATCCTGTTTGAAGCTTAACAACTTCTATGCCTTTTATCGAAATAATCTGAAATATTGCACATAGGAGTTTTTATTTGTGAAAATTTATAATATTAAATATTAATGATTTAATGTCACGAATTTAAGATATAAAACAGGTCGTGTGTATCTCGACCTGTTTACAAAACAACAAAAGATCACTATTATACCATACTTTCCTATTATAAATCTATTTTATATAAGTTTTACAACATAACAGGAATTAGAATATGCAGTTAAAATAAAACAAAATAGTAAATTCTCCCCTATAAATATAGAAATGAATAAATAATACAGTCAAAATTGTTTGTTATTAGCTTTGATCTTCTATTTCTATTGTAAAACATATAACTTACCAGCGAAAGATTCGTGAGTAAACAAATGGTTCGCAAGAAAAAACAGCACAAACGTCAATTTCATAGTCATATCTCGGCTCCGTCTTCAGTGTATAAATCAACAAATTTAATAAAATATTAAAACATATTAACATCAATTAATCTAATATTAATCTATCAATTAATCAATTAATAGTGTATAATACGAAAATAATTAATATAATTCTGTAATGTATAGGATAAATCTATATATACAATCGAGATGAGTTGATAAAATAATAATAATACGCGCAGAGCCCAAACGGTTAGGAGTTGAAAGTTGAAATTTGGTATACAGTTAGGGTATGTCAAAAAATGCACACAAACAAGGGATTTTTCGAAATTATTTTCTACGGGGGAGAGAGACAGGATTAAGACTTAACACTTCCATCAACAATGGAAGTGTTAAGTAACAATGAAAGTGTCAACAATAAACGTGTCAGCAATGGAAGTGTTACGTAACAATGGAATTGTTAAGAGAAAGCGACGTGCAAGATGCAGATGCAGTTTTTTTTTTCGTTTTTGCGAGAAATCGAACATATTTTTATACCCATCTAAAATTCTTTAATTAGTCGGGAAACAGGAAGACCCAATTCTTGCATTCTGTGAAAACGGGTAAGCTTGACTATAACCTAATAATCTTAATCTTCGCTATCGTTACATTTGCCCAAGAAACGCTGGGCCTACCTGCTAGTATATCGATAATTTTACTTACCTAGTTAGTTTTCGTGATTGCAGTGCAGTACTCAAAACTCGTAATGAGTTTATTCTGCTTATATAGTTTATTGTAAACAATATTTTAGTTTTTATTTTTGGTTTAATAAGTTTTTACTAAAAGCTTTTTGAATTGAAGATTAAAATCAATAAATTAATCAGTTAGAATATTAAAGCTCTGTGTTTTCTACTGGCAAAGATAATTGATTTTAAATATTAATTTCAAATATTCATTACTTCCAAAACGGGCAGTCGCCTGTTTTGGAAGTAATGAATATTTCGATTTGAAAGTAATGAATATTTCGAGTAATGAACTTATATCGATTTGTAAATTATATAGCAGTGATATAGAAATTTCAAAATATCGATTATAATTGCTAAAACATTTTACTTTTTTTTATTATTTTCATGTATAAACGAAATAATTTTTTTCTGTAATAAAACATTTTGAAATGATTTCGGGAAAATTAATTTTGTATTTTGTCTCTACATACAAAAATTGTTTCGCTATTTATTTTAATTCAACAATTATAACAAGTTTCATTTAATTCGCACTTTTTTCATTCGAACACAAATTATTTATTGTATATATACATACACTTGGCAAATCACAGAATTAAATTTTATTCAGTTGATACGTGTTTCTCTCGTTTACACACGTTTCGGGCATTTCTTGTCTCTCTTCAGCCAACTAAAATTAAAAAAGTTCACAAGTTACAACAGTGTAAACAAACAAACAAATAAGATCATGTTATTTTAAAAACATACCTTTTGGATGAGTTTAAACAATTTTAAAAATTCTTCCATACGCTTACAATCACGTTTAAATCTATTTAACAATTAAAATTTACATACTAGTCTTTCGAAGTAATCCATCCTTAAAAACGTATTTCGCTGATCTTTCTTTCTCCTTTTTCCTCCAGTTAAGCTTGCCCACTGTCTACTATACAGACACATGACGAGTAGGTGATCTTGTGGCAACATTTTTTAAAAATTATTTTTTTACATAAAAAATCTTTTTCAGAAATATTCCTAATATTATAAGATATTGAGCCAGTTTTCGTTCCGTTTAATACTTCGTTTTGTATTTATACATTTATTACTTTTGATAATTTTTACGCTTTCTTTGAACTTTCTATGATATGTTTCTTATTCTTTCTGGAGTATTTGTACTTTATTTTACAATCGTTCAGGGTGCAATGATAATGAATGGCATAATGTAATCTGTTGTATTTTAGATCTGCTATATGTTGTTTTAATCTGGTTTTTAACTTCTTTTTAGTTTTTCCTATATAATATTTATTATCTCTACAATTACAATGAATTTTATATAGTACATTCTTCGTTTCAGTTGGTAGTTGTTGTTTTTTCTCAGTGTTGAGCTGTTTTAGCAGAATTAATAATGATAGATATACTTAACAAAAGTAGCAATATCAGAGGCGTAAAATTTTATAAAAGACATGTGAATGACATTTTAATAACATGCAATGAAACTGAAATAAAAATAGAAGAAATCAACAAACAAGTTAATAATATACAAAAAACGATAATATTTTGAACAGAAATAGAAGATACAACCAAATAAGAAATTAACTATTTACACATTACGATAAGAAGATTAAAACAGAGCTTAGAATTTAGAACATTTAAGAAGCCAGGTTCGAGTCAGATAACAATAAAATATCAGTCAAATGTACCACTTCAAGTCAAATATAATGTATTTAAAATGGAATATTCTAAAATAAAAAAACAGAACAACTCAAGAAATACACATATTTGCAGATTTAGCTGAATTAAAAAAGAAATTTCTCCTGGCGGGTTACCCACAAAGATTGTTTAAAAAATGGGAACTTAAAATAAATAATCTTAAAAAGCCACAAGACAATAAAAAAAACAAACGATATAAAGTATGTCGGGTTTCCATACATCAAAGGACTACACGAACAAATTAATAATGAAATAAGTAACATAAACTTCATGTTAGCACCGTCATACCAAAAAATGTATACAAGGCGAAAACAGCTGAACACTGACAAAAAACAACTACCAACTGAAACTAAAAATGTATTATATAAAATTTATTGTACTTGTAGAGATAATAAATATTATATAGGAGAAACTAAAAAGAAGTTAAAAACCAGATTAAAACAACATATAGCAGATCTAAAATATAACAGATTAAATTATGCCATTCATTATCATTGCACCCTGAATGATTGTAAAATAAAGTACAAATACTCCAGAAAGAATAAGAAACATATTATAGAAAGTTCAAAGAAAGCGTAAAAATTATCAAAAGTAATAAATGTATAAATACAAATCGAAGTATTAAAATAAACAAAAACTGGCTCAATATCTTATAATACAGTATTAGGAATAGTTTTGTAAAAGATTTTTTATGTAAAAAAATTATTTTTTAAAAAATGTTGCCACAAGATCACCTACTCGTCATGTGTCTGTATAGTAGACAGTGGGCAAGCTTAACTGGAGGAAAAAGGAGAAAGAAAGATCAGCGAAATACGTTTTTAAGGATGGATTACTTCGAAAGACTAGTATGTAAATTTTAATTGTTAAATAGATTTAAACGTGACTGTAAGTGTATGGAAGAAATTTTAAAATTGTTTAAACTCATCTAAAAGGTATGTTTTTAAAATAACATGATTTTATATGTTTGTTTGTTTACACTGTTGTAACTTGTAAACTTTTATTTTTAGTTGGCTGAAGAGGGGCAAGAAATGCCTGAAACGCGTATAAACGAGAGAAACACGTATCAACTGAATAAAATGTATTTTTGTGATTTGCCAAGTGAACGTATATATACAATAAATAATTTGTGTTTGAATTAAAAAATTACTGGCACGATTTCAAAAATACCAGATAACTCTGGTATTTTTGAAATCGTGCCAGTAATTTTTTCGTACTTATTTAACAGTTGTTAAATTATCAGACAGCATTAATTAAATAAAAAATAAATCTACTAATAATACTTTAAATAAATATTAAAATAAATTGTTAAGTTATAATTGATTAAATAGGTAACTAATATAAGATTACAAGTTGATGGCAAACTTTTTGACTATAAATTTCCAGGCCGTTGATAGAATTCCTGCGAACTTTGCATTTCTGCATGCTTCTTCTAGTTTGCTCTTGTAAATTTTCAATTTTTTCAGCGGTCTTTGCTAATGATGGGGATTGCAATGACTTGACAATAACCGCTTCATCCCATTTTACTATGGAGTCTTGCGTCTGCGCCATTGGAAAATTACTCTTGTGTGGAATCTGTTCTGATATCATACTTGTGTATTTTAAGTATTACATCAGAAAAGGTTCTAACATGTAACATTTGTAAAGTTAACAATTATTTTGATAGCATTCTTTCCAACTGTAGCACCAGAAACCGCTAATAGTTTCGAATATCTGTTCTCTATTGAGATAAGTACTTTCGTACTGCCACTAGAAGTGGATTATATTCAGAGTAGTTTAGTTAATGTCAGATTGCATTAATATCTGTTAATTAAAGTGCTAGTTAAAAATCCGATAGATAAAAGTTGTATGGATTCGATACAGTTTGCTATATGTTTTATTTTTACCATAAGAATAGGTGTAAAGATCTGACACTCTATAAGGTATATTTCATAATTGAGTGTTAGTTTTAACAAAGTATAATTGGTAGGTATTTTATATAAATTCATTTTTTAAAAAAACAGAACTCGATTTTTAATAAACGGCCATTTTTTTTGTTAATCCGCAGTAGAGTGCAATTTTTTCCGAGACCCTGACTACCCTATGCACGTGATTAAAATAATATTAAAATACCGCTCGATTAAAATAATAAACGATCAGCCATAGCGGCTTCTGAGTTTTCAAACAAAGACACAGTAGTGTCATTATACAATAATGTAGGCATCAATGATGGTGTCAACCCTTCAGTCGCAATATACAACACTATAATAATATTAATTTTGTATAATTTAAAATTAAATACCAAAGTATTCTACTTAAAACTACCAAAAACACAGATGACATATACATATAGCTAATAACCGAAACGAATATAAAGCCAGGTATTCAAGTAAGTTATGTATGCAGTGCCACGATTAATGGATGTTACTAGAGACATCTTGATACTGTGGTTATCAATTTTACAAGTTAATATCGATACTTTTTCTCGGTATTAGATCCTGTATCGTTACATTTTTTACATACAGGTAATTTTTTTCATTTATAGCCGAGTTTCCTTTGCTACACACCAATTTTTAATTTTAATGTAATTAAACATAAAAAATTCTTAAAACTGAAAAAAACGAAAGAAATGCGTTAATTTTG